TTAATAATTTATAAATTATTATTGTATCTTATATTACACTGTCCGGCGCCTCCCCTCACCCACCCCGCTGCTGCCCGTCCCCCAGAGAGGAGGCCATATGTGGCTCCCTGTGATCCATTCCCCCTTACTACCTCCCCTTTCCCTCCTGGTATCGCCACTGTCACCCCCGGTCCTGAGAGGTTCTTCCATCCTAGATTCCCTGCGCTTCCAATTCCCATCTGTACCGCTGTGCATCATCTGGTCTAACCAGGTCTGCAAGGCGAAACTGGGGTCCTGGTAGTTGGGGGGAGGAAGCCATGCCAGAAACCCAAAGGTACCATATGATTTCATATGTACTGTACCTTTTTTTGGTGGTTGACTCACATCAGATGCTTGGCCCGGCTGCCATAATTATGAAATGCTTGTAAAGGACCAAATATCACTGAATACTTTCAGTTATTTTACTGAAGAGTCTAAGCTGGGAGGTTTCCATATCATACTATAATCGTGTTATCTAAGCGCTTTCTGATGTATTCATGAACCATCCTGGAATAACATTGCTTGGATTCCTGTCCTAGGACAGGTTTTGTAATCTTCAAAAGAAATGAAAATTTCTATAATAAAGTTTCAAATAAATGCATGCATGTCCCATCTATCAGATTATTTCAGTTATGTGATGTTAATCGTATCCTTATTCTCCTGAAGTACATATTTATGAAAAATGATTACTGTATATACTCAAGTATAAGCTGACCCAAATACCAGCCAAGGCACCTAATTTAACCAGAAAAACTGCATTAAAAATGTGCTGAAAAACTCAAGTATATGCAGTAATAGCACTGAAATAGGAATATTTCTGAGTTAATCAATGCAAAATAATTGTTCTATGCATAGTCTCAGCTCAAAGGATTTGTCAAATTTGTATCATTCATCACACCCACTGCCATAAAGTCCATGCTGACTCATAGTCACCCTATAGGATATGGTAGAATGACCCCGAGACTAACTCTTGACTAGAAGAGTAAAAAGTCTTCCAGGGAGTGGCTGGTGGTTTGGAACTGCAGGCCAACATGTAACCCTGATACCACCAGGGCTCCCACATCAATTGTTACAGTCTTAGACGCTCCCAGGAGCAGTTCTATTCTGCCAAATAGAGTGTGAGTTGGAATCAACTTGATGGTTTGGTTTGAGGGTGCATTTTGAATTCAGGTTTAAAGGCCGAGTTTCTTCCTGAGCAAGATAGGCGAGTAAAGGCAGTCATTTGGGTTCTGCAACGCTCCCTTGTGTACTTAATTAGATCTGTTTAGTGAGTGTCCCCCAGCCTTCAACCAGTTGTTACAATAAATCATTTGACAGACCAAGTGTATCCTGCCACAAAGCATTTTTAGGAAAGGACTTGTCATGTTCTTTTTACTCAAAAAGACCGTTAAACCAATTGCAACTGAGTCCATCGTGACCGCAGATTACCAGGACTTTCTTCCAAGGTGCCTCTGGATGAGCTCATACCGCCAACCTTTTGTTTGGTTAGCAGCCAATCACATGAGCACAATTAAAAGGAAACTGGATTAAGATTGTGCTTTCCTGATAAACAAGAAATGGGTTCAAGCTTGCAGTTGGTCCTTTCCTCCTCCCTTGACATCTTTCCGTTTAGAATGATTTAGAAGCTATCCACAAAAGAAGAAGCTATCCACTTATATTCATTTGGGTATTCAGGATAAGATGGAGAGGTGTTTTTTTTTAAAATTATTTTATTGGAGGGGATCTTGCAGCTTGTATAACATTCCATACGTCAGTTGTATCAAGCATATGTAAATATGTTGCCATCATCATTTTCTTAACATTTACTTAAAAAAATTATTTTATTGGGGGCTCATACAACTCGTAGCACAATCCATATATACATCAATTGTGTAATGTACATTTGTTGCCCTCATCATTCTCAAAACATTTGTTCAAGATGGAGAGTTTCAAGATCTGCTTGGCATGATACTATAACAACAAAGGAAAGTTACTCTTTGTTTACTACTACCATGCCATATCACAAATTTAGTAGGTTAAAACAACACAAATGTGTCATTGTACAGTTCTAGAACTCAGAAATCTGTCGGAGGGTTTCACTGGGCTCAAATCTAAGTCAGCATTCTTTTCTGGATGCTCAGGACAATTGCTTCTTTGCCACCGCAGGAGCCCCGGTGACACTGTGGGATAAGCATTAGACTGCAAACCCACCAGCCACTCCTTGGGAGAAAAATGAAGCTGCCTGATTCCAAAAACGTGCAGTCTCTGTAGAGAAGTCGTACTCTCTCTTGCAAGGTCACTGTGAGTCGGAATTGACTCGATGGAAGTGGGTTTGGTGAGATGGAAAAACCTTACAACTACAAAATGGTTAAAACTAGTGACGTGGAATAGAGAGCACTTAAAGATCAGCCCAAATATTGTCTTGTGATTTCATACTCAAATAAAACATGAGTGATAACTTGGAAGAAATATCTTTTAACCACTCAGAGTTTTGACCGGGCCTACAATAATTTTATTGACAGTGAGCAGTCACCTTTATTTCAAAGTGTTTAAGGGAGTTCAGAATGTTGTAGGAATATGTAGCAGGGTTTCCTAGGGAACAGGGAAGAACTTTGAAGAAAACTGACCAAGCAGAAGGGGGTAAGGTAGCATCAAATAAATGGAGGCTAAGAATTAGAGGCATTGAAGAAAATAAAACACTTGAATGATGGAAGGTACAGTATAAGAAAAACATGAGTTTCAAGAGACAGGCAGGGGCTAGATTCTAAAAGGCATAATCAATAATGTTAAGGGATTTTAATTCAATCTCCTGGTTTTGTTCCCCAGTCAGTTACCATTCTTACTTACTTTGTACCCTAACTGTACCCCATAGGCTCCATAGTTCATCAACTTAACATCCCTTTCATAGCAGCTTGAACATCCTTCCATTCTTGCCTTTACAATGTCCCCTCTAATTGATACTAAAACCCTGCATTGTTTCACTTCCTTTTGCATATACATTTTTGAATATGTTGGAAGAAATCGTATAATTACTCAAATTGATGCCTTCTAATATCATTCAAGTTCTTACAGTCTCCCATATTTTAAGATAGTTTAATGGTGATGTAATTTTACATACCATAAAGTTCACCCATTTTAAAGTGCACAATTCCATTTTTTAGTATATAGTTACAGTTGTGCAATGCTGACTCATAGCGACCCGATGTGGGTTTCTGAGACTAATTGTTGACAGGAGTAGAAAGCCCAGACTTTCTCCCTTGGAGATGCTGGTGGTTTCAAACTGCTGACCATGTGGATCGCAGCCCAGTGTATAACCATGACACCACCTGGGCACTCTGTGAAGCTATACTATAGTCAAATTCCAAAACATTCTCATCACCCCAAAAATAAATCTTTTGATTGGAACCTTCTAATTGGTCTTTGTTTCCACCCTTGTTGCATAAAAGCACGTTCTCATCAAGTTGATTCTGATTCATAAAGGACACTAAGTCAGAGTAGCCTTGCTCCATAGTGTCTCCTAGGCTATAAATCTTTCTGGAAGCAGATCACTAGGTCTTTCCCTGCTGAGCGATTGATGAGTGAACACGATGACCTTCCTGATTGCTGCTTAAGCACTGCACCACCATACCCCGTCCCTTGCCTCTCTACAGTAGATTCTTAAGGAAGAAGCCAAAATGATCTGTTCAAAACTTACTGAGGATTACAGCAAGCAAACTGTCTCCTTATCTCCTTATCCTCGTTGAGAACCACTGTGTTAGATTATTGTAATTTATTTCTCTGTCATCTAGCCATGTCTGGTTCTCTAAAGAGAGGATATGAAAACCCTAATGTTTGCAGAAAGGTGATTTATTGAAAATAACTTTACTTGGAACTGAACCCATGGGCCCAACATAAACAGCCCATGAGAAATACTAGTTGACATTATAAAGCATTCAAGGGGGCTGAACTGAGCTGACACCTTTACTCACCTTACTTCATATGTGTATTAACCATCTATTACATGAGTTCCAAACACTCTGCTAAGTGCTAGTAATGACCATTACCAACCCAGACACGGTTTTTGCCTGGTAAGGTGTACAGTGAAGTAGGGAAGACTAGCTGCCTGGGGTCCATTGTGCATCAGAGTGAAGCTGTGCTCCATAGTATTTTTTGAAATTAGATTGCCAGGTCTTTCTTCTAATGTGCCTCTGGGTGGACTCGAGCCACCAACTTTTAGGTTAACAGAGAACAAACACATTAACTACCACCCAAGGATTCCACAGGGAAGACCTCAAGCCATTGATCCATTGTCATCCAATCGTTTCAGACTCAGAAAAGCCCCTCATAGGTTTTCTAACGCTGTAGATCTCTATGGAAGATTTGGGGGAGGGGTGCCTCTTAACTCCACCCGCCTCCCCTGATCAGCAGGTGGGTTCCCGCTCTTAACCTTTGTGCAAACTAGGTTCCTTGTAAGGAAGTCAGATAGTTGAAAAGTATTGCCAGGCATCTTGCAGATATTATACTTTAGTAAACACAGGATAGGGGAGTCTTGCCCTTATACCAGACCCCTGACTTGGGACAGTGGGGAAAAAGGGCTGTATTAGAACTGAGCTATTAGGTTAGAGTTAATGAATCAGCAACTTGTCAACGTGGGAGACTTGGTTAAGGCATTAGCGGTCTGGCGTCAGCCAGCAGAGGGCGCGCGCGTCAACCCACCCTTAACTATGACTCAACTCGGTGGCTCCGCCCACTCCGTTTGTGACGCCACCACCCCGCCCTCTCTCTGCTTATAGCCTCGCCCCCTGTCCTCCTCTCCATCTCGCCCCCTCCCCATCTCTCCCCACTCCCTCCCACCTGCTGAGAACCAGGTGGACGCGCGGCAGCCCCGTTTTCAACTAGGGTAGCGTTTCGATCGCGCAGGCGTATGGAGGGCTGCGTGCGGGTCGAATCTACGGCGGTGGGCGTGGAAAAGTGACGCAAACATCGCGACGCCATTTGCCGCCGCTGAGCGTAGGCACGTCAGGTTCCCTGAGTCGGTGCGTCGTGCGGCTCCCTTTCACACGCCACTCGATCCTGAGAGCGTGCCGCATTCTGCGCGCTTCCCTTCGTTAACCGCCGCCGCTGCCCAAAAGGGAGTCGGAAACGCCACAAGGCCGCAGTCATGCCTAAAAATAAAGGTAAGCCGCCCGGACTTTGGGGCCACGGGACAGCGCGGCCGGCCCTTTTCACCCCCTGTCGCGGCCTCCAGGCTGCTTGAGCCTCAGTGACCTTCCTTCCTTCCCGCTCCGCACCCCCACCCGCATCTGTGACCCCTGCACGCGACTCCGAGCTCTGGAGAGGAGCTGGGAAGTTACTGCCGTCTCCCAGTGTGGTCTCATTGGGGTGGAGCCGACGCCATTTTTGTAGGGCCTCCTACGGGAGAACAGGCTTTTGCTACTCATTCGCGCCAGACTGAACACGAGTCGCCCAGGGGGCGGCCTGGACGTTAAAAAGCAGGCCTTCGGCCCTTCCTGGGCATGAAATTTAAGCCCGGAAGTAATTTTTTCCGAGGGTATTGCCTGCTTTAGTCACCCTTGGGGACTTTATAAACCCTGGGTTTCCTCATAAAAAGTTGTTTTATATTGTTGAGGGTACTTCCTTTTCTTGTAAATGATGAGCAGAACCTTCATGAAGTTTTAGGATCCTCCCGCATCCCTTTGTAAAGGGGTTCGACCTATTTTTTTCGAGCAGACTACTAGCCACATGTTTAGCCAGCCGAGTTGTGGTGGGAGTAAAAAACCTTAAAACTTTTCCATATAAGGCTAATTGTTCAGATTTCCAGATATGAGAAAAAGTTTATTTGAAACCCCAAACGGAAGACCTAATAAAAGTAAAAGAAAACTCGCACAAATAATCCTGAAGAAAGTCTCCCTTTCTTAGATGTAAGGTGTTTGTCATTTTTTAGGAAAAGAAATATCCTTATAACCGCTCATAGACAATCGTGGAAGTAGAATCATTTTATTTGTACCGAAAGAAGTTCTAGATACATTTGTGTGTAATCGGCTTGACAGTTGCTTTATGGATCGCCCCTCCTTTCTCTCGTGGCTGTAAGTACTCACTTTGTCCTTTTTGAGTACTTGGTGGCAGTCTTCTTAGGACTCTCCACCATATTGTCTCCAAAGCCGAACTCATGGGACCTTTTTTATTTTAGCAGAGGTTTTACTGCTAATTTGGCGGGAGGGGTGGCTGGGGTTGATCAAAGAGTTTTTTAAACTCTTTCCAGATTTTTAGATTCTTCTACTCTTTGATTCCATCAGAGATGGTACCTGGATCACTTCATACCTGTTTTATTCTCACCTGTATTTCCATTGATAAGACTTCAGTTTTTCTCATTTGGGCTACAAGGTCCAAAGAGCAGGACTAGTACCTGCCTTATTCACATTGGATCACTAGCACTTTGGCATTTAATAAATACTTAATAAATATCTGTTGGATTAAATCACCTCCCCTCTATTGACTCCACCCTTGGGTGAATAATAGGCTCCCCTTTGGCGCCAAGGGGGCAGGACATCTGCACTAAATGGCATTTAGTTCACTGGTCTTGCTTAACCATAAACGACTTGAAGTGTCTATGCTCAATTCTCACCTTTTTTCTCATGAATGTAAAATATATTCCACTACAGCACAATAAAGTAGCAGGGGTGTTAGGGTAAATTCTGGTAAATTGACAAGCATGGCATAGTGCTTAAAATATCCATTACTTGTGATCTTCTCAAATAAGCACTGTGTTTACCCTTGTGAAGATAGCCACTATCCTGAATTTGGCATTTATCATCCTGTACGTGTAAAACACATCTATTATATTTTAAGTCATTTAGAAGAAGTACTTTCAAGACCCCCTTGTTTTATGAATTGAGGTTTACCGTAAAACTAAAACTCCCTTGTTTCTCCATCGGAAAATCCAAAAGATTCTGTGAGTATAATACTGGTGGTGGCCATGCACATTAGTTACCGGGAGGTATGTGTTGAATGACTTGCTTTGGGTGGATTCTTGTTTAGGTAACTTCTTCTAGAGATCTTGGAAAGCAGGCATCCTGCTAGATGTGCACTTGGGTAAGGAGCCTTCCACACTGGGATTTGCTACAAATCACCCCTCGTTGAGGACTGTGAACTATTCCTGATGTGACAACTGCCAGGCTTTGGGTATATGGTATTAAAACAGATAGAATCCTTGCCCTATGGGAGCTTTTGGTGTGTAGCTTGAAGACCAGAGGTGATTAATGGTTTAAAGTAGAAGATGTGTTCCCTAGGAAATTTGTTTGGTGTGCCCAAGAATGCCTCAAATACATAACCTAAACTAATCTGGATCGGTCAGGAAATTGTTCTGTTTGGGTTGTGAATCATGTGTTGCTTCCAAGCTCTGCGCTTGAATTCTGTATTGTCACTACCACTTACAACTTTTCTCTCACCTTTTGGAAATGGCTACCAACATGGGCTGGGTTCTAGAATGGGAACAAAGTGCTAGGAAGAGGTACCCTGATGGGGCTAGGAGCAAAAGCTAGTCACCCTATGGCAGTTAAGTGAGCTGCTTATTTCTCAGCCCTTACCTCGTAGGTTGATTGTGATGAGTAAATGGATAGCGTTGTTATATCCTTAACATTAGTACATAGTCACTGCGTCCATATTGCCTGATTCAAGTCCCACATCTCACTCACTTGCTTAGATAAGTTACTTATCCTTTTAAAGACCATTTTTCTCTTGTGAAGTACAGACAAAAATGGTACCTACTTCATAGGCAGAAGATTTTGGTACTTATTTATAAATGCTGCGTGTAAACAGGATTCTTAATGGGGCCAAAGTGGAGATGGGGTAAGAGAGTGAACAATGAGACATCTCCTCGGATTGAGGTGTATGTATAGTAGGAGACAAGTGGTGAGAGGTAGATTGGTTTGTGTCTTATGAGGTGTTTTGTTGCCTCTCTCCTATATGATCCCCAGGAGTTCTTACTGGCTGGCATTTAAACAACAAATTGCCATTAACCAGGAGGGGCTTTGTGAAACTCAGTTATCTTTTGAAAACAATTGTGTTTGAGATGAGCACATTCAAATGGAAATGTGTGAGCCATTACTGTGAGGTCCACACTTAGTGGAAATAGTGCCCCCCTGAATATGTAAGATTATTAACACTGAAGTCGACCAGAATAGTGCAAGTAGCCTTTTAAAAGTCAAAAAGGAGAGTTTGAGAAAGGAAGTAAGTTATCAGCAACATCATTATTTAATGTATAAAGAATAGGGGAAATTACACATATTTGAAGGATGTCAGTGAGAAGGCATTGCAGACAGATTTTAGAACGGTTTGGCTTGAGTTTCTAACCGCCTCCTTTTGACAGGCGAGACTGGCACTGAGCACCTGAGAGGTTAACAGCTCCAGCTCTCCCCCCCTCCACATTTAGTCACTTCAGAAGTGTTCTGCCTATCTGTCATTCTACCTGAAAGTACAGTGTCTTCTCCACTCATCCTACCCAGAGCATCATGTTACAGTCCTTTTTATTAAAGCAATTTTTTTATTTTAAATTCTTGGGGGGTAAATTAAAAAAATGATTCAAATTTTTAAAAATGGGAAAAGTGACATCTTCTGAAATCTGCCCCACTGCCACTTTTTGCTCCTTCTCCCCAACAGCCATGTACATGTCCTTCCAGCGGTTCACTGACCAGCTGCCCACAGAAGAAAGCTGGGGCTGTGCACTCTGTAAAGATTCCCAGCCTCAGAAACCCTATAGAGGATCACTGTTGAGTCAGATCAACTTGATGGCAGTCAGTTTGGGTTGTTGTTTGTTTGTTTTTAAGCAATTAGGAATATAGATTCCTTCTTTTTATACAACTGGTAAGCATTTTATTGTTCACCTTGCCCTGTTTTTAAACATCTATTGTGAAACATTTTGAATATATACAGAAGCAAGAGAATCCAAGTGGCTGACCTAGAGTTAAGTTTACACTCCTTGAGTCCCCTTCTTTTGGCTAAACTGTCACAGTAGTTGTACCAGCCAGGCCAAAAGGAAGAAGCACCATGCTCTGAATCCCAAGTTTCGAAATAGGCCTAGTAAACTCAGCCCACCCCACCCCACTCCACTCCCTCTGACTCAGAGCTGCCTTGCATAAGGTTCCTGAGGCTGTAAATCTTGAAGGGGGCAAATAGCCTCACCTTTTCTCCCAAGGAGGGAGCAGCTGGTACCAGCCCACAATGCCACCATGGCTCCTTAAATAGGTCCATGTAACAACTAATCATTACCTTAGGAGGCAATCATGGGATCAGCCCTATGTCAGGTGGTCACTTTGACACGCTTCTCCTTATTGCCTATGTGACTAGCTTCAGAACCTGCTCAGGAAACGATAGGCTTTGGAATCTGGCAAACGGGGCAAAAATTTCTAGAATTAAAATTATGGGATAATGAATTTGCATGCCTTTCAGGCTCTTGATAAATATTACTGAATAGTTTTCTCAGAAACTTCTTCAATTTTACTATCATGTTGGTTCCAACTTATAGTGACTTTAAATCTTTATGGGAGCAGAAAGCCTCATCTTTTCTCTCACAGAACAACTGGTGGAATAAAACAGCTGGCGTTGAGGTTAGCAGCCCAGCCAGCTCCTAACCCACTACACTAATGGGTTCCTTTCTAAGAAGGATGGGAGAGTGACTATATGTCTATTACTATTACGGTGAACATTTTTCCTCTCTGACATCATTTAAGTTTTGTAAGTCTTAACTTCATTTCTTTTTTCATACTATTTTACAGATGATTAATATCAAATTTTACCCTTTTTTTCTTTAATCATTAGGTAAAGGAGGTAAAAATAGACGTAGAGGTAAGAATGAGAACGAGTCTGAAAAAAGAGAACTGGTGTTCAAAGAGGATGGGCAAGGTAAGCATTTTCAGGAGGCAGGCTTCTTTTTGTAACATTTTCTTTTAAGTACAGAATTTCAATCTGACCTAATCCTGAGCAATAATTGTCTTGTCCCTATTTTCACTTGACTCCAGAGCCTTTTGGTAAACAGGGATTTCACTGTTTTGCATAGACACTAAGATTCAAACTAAGATGTTTGGAGAGAATTAACCATCAGAGACATAGTTGACAACTCCATGACTTAGTGGGACCTTTTTAATACAGGTGGTCCCCAACTTAAAGCAGGTTCCTTACAGACAACCTTGTCATAATGGTTCTGATGTAAATCACACATTTCCCTTTTTTTAATTACTGCCTTTATTCTCACAACATCTTTATAAATCATAGCATTGAATATCTGTGTTAGTCTGTGGAGACTAGAGAAACAAATCCAGGGAGACGCATGTGTGTAATAGAGCACTTTATATCAAAGAGTAATTGTCTATTAAAACATCCCAGCCTAGATCAAGTTCATAAGTCCAATATTAGCCCATATGTCCGATACCAGTCTATAAATTCCTCTTTAGACCCACACAACACATGCAATGATGCCAAATGTAGGAAGATCACGGGCACATGGGTGGAAAGTCGTGTGGATCCAGTGGCGGTGGAAGCATGTCAGCTTCAGGGCTCTGGCTTTGTCAGCGTAGTTCCATGTGGCCTGTCAACAAGAAATGTCTCCCAGGGAGAGTATGTGTCCCACTTCCAGGGAGGGGAAAACAGGAGTTCCCAGAATCCTCAGGAGAAAATCATGCCCATACAGAGGCCTCATTGGCTATGACCTGTTTGACGGACTACACCTTCACAAGTTGGACAGGAGAGTGTGTAATTGTCACGATATCTGAGAATGATAACATTAGCAGCATTGTATTTAGTACACTTTACAGACACAATGTACAAAAAAGGGGGAAGAAACCAGGGGATCATAAGTGACTTGAAGGCTTTGTAAGTTGGGAACTGCCAGCAGTGCGATTAGTGGACTGACGAAGTAAGACTTCTATGGGCACTTGAGGTCTTCATTGCATAAAAAAACAATAAATCAAAGTAAAACAGTGGACTGAAATAAGATTCTGTACGTACCAGATTAAGAACCCAGGAAGCTAGTAAAACTAATTTTGACTGATGCTTCTCCCCCTCCAAGTTACAGTATTAGTATACTGAACTCCCTTTTGAACTTCATTTACTTTGACATTTTGGTTTTTTAACCATTTGAAAGTTAGAGACACTGAGATACTCGATTTATTATGCACCTCCAAAAAACAAGTATATTCTATGGTAGGATTGCCGAATTATAATTCTAGTCTATGGTTACAATTGTCATGTTCCTGTAGTTTAACATTAATATAATGAAAATCAAGTATGTAGTCCATATTCCCAGTTTCCAATCTCAATTTCCAGCACTTTTTGCCAATATTTTATTTTTTAGTAGAAATTTTTATGACTTTTATTCATGCCCTGCATAGGAAGGAGCCACTTTAAAAAAAAATGCTTTTTCTGGTTTAAAGACTTGCTGCTTAGCTTTCATCATTCTTGCCCCTATTAACAGTTAACTTTATTTTGGGAGTGTCTTTTTTTCTCTTCTATTTTCTCCAAAGAGATACTGCCCCTGTGTAGACCAGCTGTTTGGTCGAGGCGTGAGATGGTGCACTCACCATAGTCTGAGGAACTCCCTTCTTATGCTACAATATATTTACACATAGAGCTTTGGGAATCTAAAGGTTCTGAAGGGGCGCCCTGCCTTCTGTCTTTTGTCCTTTAATAGCAGAAGAAACACCCACTTGTGGTGTGTGGGCTAAAGGCAGAGTCTCCCTCTCAAAGCTTTTCAAATGACAGTGAAATTAGATAAATTCCTGGGTACCGTTTTGGAGAGGCTTTGATGAAAAGGTTGGCATTTCATCTAAGGATATCTTTCTGGTTTTACTTTAGAATAATCACTAAGATATCCTAACTTAACAAAGACATTTACTACTTTATCTGGCAAGTACAGCATCACTTGTCCTATGGAGCAGCTGGTGGATTTAAACCACCTGCCTTGCAGTTAGCAGTCCAGCCCTTACCTAGCAGCAAAAACGGGGTCTGGGATCCAAATGTGCAAGATTGATGAGCCACCGAGTCTTCTGTTTGCCCAAAATGAGTAGATAATTTAAATATGTGCAATAGTAGAGAGTTTGTGGAAATGACCTTACAAAGTATTGGTTCTCGTGCCATTAATGGGTTTGTTACCTTGGATACTTGAACTTGACCTCTGTAGGCTTCTGTTTGCTCTATTACATGAAGGGGTTGGCGTAGAAACACAGCTGCGGAAGGCCATGAAAACTGACCGACTATGAAACAGACTGGTTTCTTGGATAAAATTAGAATATGTGTCACCTTGAAAGGGGGTTCTCAGGATGCATTGCTTGCCCTTTTTGCTAATCAAGTAATATCCTTTATTTAAAAACAAGACATAAGTTGATCTGATTTAGCAGTAAAGCCAATTTCATGGTCAATATATTAAATTTTATACATGAACCTAATTGTGATATTTATCAGATTTCTAATAAGAAACAAAAACTAACAAACTCTGGCTCAGTGTAAGAAGTCAAACAGTACCAGTTTCTTCATCTTGCCCCTAGATTATTATTTCCTTTCCTTCCTTTTAGTCCCTAATATAATCCTATTCTTGAATCTATATTTGTGCTTCTACTTGGTTTTGTATCTGCTTATACTTCCACTGCATTTTTAACCAGTACAACTGGTGCTTTGTGTGGACTTGTCATTTTAATTTGCTTTTATTAAAAGTTGAACAGTATCTCATACCTTTTTCTTTTCCTCCCCCCAGAATATGCACAGGTCATCAAAATGTTGGGAAATGGGCGATTAGAAGCCATGTGTTTTGATGGTGTAAAGAGATTGTGTCACATCAGGGGAAAATTGAGGAAGAAGGTAGGTGTGGGAGCTTGCCTCTCTCTAATATAGAATTGATCTGGGGAGAAATTGCCTCTGTATTCAGCTGTTACGACTCATGGAGCTCATTTTTACAAGTTCACAGAAATTTCCGTGGAACAATAATTTGCATATAGTCAAACAACAAAAGTTCTTGGTGATAGTTTTACACATAGTAAAGCTGGGAATTAATTCCCTGTCATAATGGGTATTCAGGGAGATTTACTAATCTCAGGTTGGCAAAACTCATTTTATGACTTAAAACATCTTTTGGTTTATTCTTCTAATTAAGGGGTTGGGTTGGTAATCCTTACCAAACTAAAGAGGTTCAGGGATTGGAGTGTGGCCAGCAATTAGTTTTATATTCTCATATGTAATAGGTAACTGGCCATGTGTGGCAGTTCATGATTGAAAATCTCTGAATTTCTAAACTAATATTCATTACTCTGGAATTGAATGGTCAAGTAGTTCAAGTAAAAGAGTGTTCTATTTTAATATCCCCAAATTATAGAAAAGTTGAAGCCAGCTCAACTGCTTACTATAACTAGTTTCTCCTAGTTTTAAAGAGGTACTTCTCTCACAGTTGGGTGAATGGACTGTATTTTAGGGGGAGAGATTCAACCTTATTCTTCATCCTTTGTTCTCCGTTAACAGTAACAGGAAGTCAATATTTCTTCCTAGGTTTGGATAAATACCTCTGACATCATATTGGTTGGTCTACGAGACTATCAGGTAAAAATTGCATTTAAAGTTTTTGTTTACTGGCTTGAATTGGATGAGCTAAATTTGACTTGTATTTTCCAAGTTGTAACCATATAACCTGCTTTGAATTCATGCCATTTTTAGGTCTATTTTCTTCTTTGACCATAACGATAGCCCCCAAAGAAAAGATCAGGAAATCAGAGTTCTGAAAGAAGTGGCATTCAAACTATAAAATGATAGCTGAGACCAGTACTTTTGATTCTTTATGTCCTGTGCTCCTGCTACTTTTACAATGGTCCCCTGGGAATTTAGAATTGCAGGCTTTCACTGGTCCTCCCAAACCTACACCTGTGGGGTTTTTTAAAAATCATATTACTGGGGGCTTTTGACAGCTCTTAACAACATTCAATACATCAATCCTGTCAAGCATATTTGTATGTACTATGTTGTCATCATTTTCTAAACATTTACCTTCTATTTGAATCTTTGGTATCAGCTCCTCTTCTTTTCCCCTCCCTCCCACCCTCGTGGCCCCTTGATAAATTATTTTCATATCTTACACCAACCACTATCTCCCTTCACCCACCTTTCTGTTGTTCACCCCCCTGGGAGGGAGATTATGTGTCGATCATTACAATCAGTTCCCCCTTCTCCCCACCTTCCCCCAACTCTCTTGGTATCACTTACTCCCATTTCTGTACCTCGGGTTTACCTGACCTGGTGGATTCTGTGTGTCTTGTGCTCTTATATGTATCAGTATACATGCTCCGGTCTAGACAGAACTGAAAGGCAGGACTGGGGTCATGATAGTGGGGAGGTGAGGAAGCCTCAAATAACCAGAGGAATATTGTGTTTCATCGGTGCTATATTGTGCCCTGGTTGACTCATCCCTTCTTGTGACCATTCTGTGAGGGACGTCTTATTGTATACAGATGGGTTTCCGGTCTGTGCGCCAACCCCCCTTGTTCTCAGCAATATGGTTTGGTTTGGTTTGGTTTGGGGTCTTCTTGTGCCTGTTAGCCCGATCCCCTCGACACCTCATGGTCACACAGACTGGTGTGCTACTTCCATGGAGGCTTGTGCTTCTCTGCTAGACTTGTAATAATCAGTACCGTCAGCTTTCTTCACCACATTTGACTGTGCACCCATTTTGTCTTCAGCGATCGGGCTGGGACAGTGAGCATCACAGAATGCCAGGTTGTTAGAGCAAAGTGTTCTTGTGTTGAGGGATGGCTTGAGCAGAGGCCCAAGGTGCATCCACTTCCTCAATGTATTGCCATGTACGTAAATAGATGTACATAGGGCAATACCTCTATTTTTATGAATTAATGTATTTACGTAGTGCACACCTATGTTTATACCTCTATCCATAGCTTTGTTTCCTAGATCTTTCCTCTTTTTCCTTTTACTTTACTCCTGCCCCACCATCATGCTCCCCCTCCTTCTGCCTCTTAGTAATTCCTCTCAGCTAGATTGCTTTTGCTCCAACACACCCACAAGATCTCTACATCTTCCTCATTGTTGATTTTAATTCCCTAGTTATTCTCCTGCCTATCGCGTTGCTTCCTCACCGCTCCTTTCCCCTACCTCCTCTTTCCCTCAGGTCCCTTTGGACCAGCAGTTCTCAAACTGTGGGTCACAACCCCATTGGGGGTCTAACAACCCTTTCACAGGGGTCACCCAATTCATAACAGTAGCAAAAGGACAGTTATGAAATAGCAACGAAAATAATTTTATGGTTGGAGGGGGTCACTACAACATGAGAAACTGTATTAAAGGGTCATGACATTAGGAAGGTTGAGAACCACTGCTCTGGAAACTTCCATCCTATTGCTTTCTCTTTGTGCTTACTTCCCTTGTTTATCTTATATTGGTAGGCAAAACAAGAATAACAGAGACAAAACAATAGATTGAATCAAAGGAAGGGGGGAACATGGAAAAGCATATGTAATTCCAGGTCTGTCTGCTGACCTTTATGACTATCTCCCCCCTGGTCTGTGAGGGGTGGGGGAGATGGGGTCTGGGAACTGCCCCTCCTAGCCTGAAGTCTATTTGGGGGGCTGCTCGGGGGTTGTAGCTTTGCTTTGCTCCCGTTGCTAGTCTGTTTTGTTCCCTTTTTAGTTTGCCTCACTGTGGGGATGGTCACACTGGACACATTCCCCACCATATGGCCCCAGTATTGTCCTCTGTGGAGGTATGTTCCAGCAAGGAGACATCATGTTTCGAGCTGTTGTCGGCCCTACAGTCCTCTCTGTGTCTTAGCAGCTCCGTGCGGGGACATCATCCTCAGGGCTTGTATGCCAGTATGGGTCTAGTCCCTCACTCTCTTTTTCCTTCTTGGTTTGTGTCTGTATGGGTGTGGCAGGCTGGCCCCTCGCCCCAACCTGTAGGTTCATTTTTGCTCTGATTGGGACTGGCCCTGTAGACCTCTCTGTTCATGAGTTGCTCCATGCACTTCCATTTCTGTGGAGACATAAATAATACGCTCTCCCTGGGTGTATTAGTGCCCCACTACCCCCAGTGCCATCATCTTTTTTTTTTCCCTTTTCTCCCTACCCCAGCCTTAATCCACCTTCATTGTATTGGAATGACATGTACATCCTTGGGTTTGGTCTGTCACACGCCCAATTGCCTATACCTCAGCCTATAAAGTGTGAGATGAGTAGCTTTTCTTCTATACCTACTGTGCTGATTATACTTAGCTCAGTGACCTCAGGTTGTACTTGCCCTTTTATGATTGGCTAACTTCACTTAGCATAATTTCCTGCAACTCTTCCTATGAGACAACGTACTTCTTGCGATCATCATTGCTTTCTAGTGATGTCTAGTACTCCATTGTGTGTATGGGCCAGAGTTTACTAATTCACTCATTTATCGATGGAAATTTGGGTTGTTTCCAATTCTTTGCGAATGTGAATTGTGGCACAATAAATAAACATTGGAGCGCAGACAACTGGTCTTGGTCTGCTTCTCACCTCTTCTGGGTATATGCTTGGTATAGGGATTGCTGGGTCATAAGATAACTCAATTTCCATTTGCTTTCACTATCACCAGATGACTTTCCACAGAATCTGTATGAATCTCCATGACCACCAGCAGTGGAGGAGAGTTCCTATCTCACCACATCCCCCCAGCATTTGTTGCTCTCTGATTTTCTGATTTGGGCTATCCTCAAGGGTGTTAAGTGGTATCTCATAGTTTTAATTTGCATTTCTCTGATGGCTAATGATCGGGAACATTTTCTGATGTTTATTGGCCATTCGGGTCTCCTCCCTAGTGAAACTTCAGTTCAGGTCTTTTGCCCACTTCCTCAGGTGGATTAATTGTTTTTCTCTTTTCTGCACCTGTTTTATAACCGGAGCTTTGTGGTCCAGTTATAGCCAGTGCAGCAAAGCTAAGACAGGGCCACATTTGTATGCTGTGGGTGTACTAGAGTGATAATTGTAATGGGGAAAATTATAGGTTGAAGCCCTGAGATGGGAGATTCTGAAAAAGCATAGTAAACCTATTTAGGAGCCAGGTATGTGAGTTTGAATTATTGCCAGGACTTGAGAGCTGCATACATTCAGAGCAAAGTGATCACCCTCATCTTGGAGCCAGCTACCTCCATGTCCCACTCTGCTGGTCAGGAGATTTGATTGCCATGCAGTTTGCATCCTGTTCTTGTTTTCACTGATAGAAAAGTATTCATTTCCTTGGGTCATTATGCCAGTCTCCATTTTTGCATTGCAATTCTTGACCACACTTTAAAATATGGTTCCTATGAATTTTTTGCATAAAAGCAACCAAACAAACTGCTATTCAGCTGATTCTAACATAGTGACCATATAGGACAGAGTAGAACTGCTTCCTAGTGTGTCTGATGCTGTAAAATCTGTCCAGGAACAAAAATCCTTATCTCTCTCCCATGGAGTAGCTGGTGGGTTCCAGCTATTAACTTCATGGGGTTTATTAAGAGTTGCTCATGGGTACTGTTTAGAATCAGAAATGCTTGGGATACATTTCTTTGGCCTCTTCTCAGTCATGCCTGCAGATAGGTCTCTCTTCCTTGACCTCTTCTTGGTTTGCTGAGACAGATGTTAACAAAGTTCTTTTAACTTTGCTGATGAATACCCAAAAGGCATTCCATTCTGACACAGTCAGAAAGCTCACATATCTAGCCCCGTGGAGCACCTAGTTCACCAGACCAATGTCCAGGAGCCTTCTGCCCAATGGCATTCAGCTTTCTCACTGGGTGGATGAGGAAGCCCACTCACTACTTTGTCGCTTGCCTTTGCTGCTGCTTATTAAGACTGGCTAAAAAAGTCATATCAAGTAATTCACTGCACCACACAGTTCTAAACATTATTTGCCTATTTTTAAGGATAACAAAGCGGATGTCATTTTAAAATACAATGCAGATGAAGCTAGAAGTCTGAAGGCCTATGGCGAGCTTCCAGAGCATGGTAATGTCTGAATTAGTATATTAACCTGTCAAGTGATCAAGTTGTCTGCTGGTATTTGGATGAAAGATTGTGGTAGCATTTCACATATATGTTTGTGCTTATATGATTAAGTATGCCTGCCTATACTTGATACTAGAAACTGTAAATTAGAAAAAACTGGACTTTTACTAAGAAATATACTTGATGAGCCAGTTATACTTTATAAACATTAGGCTGCAATATAATACCATTCAATGGAATAATTTTTCATCACAAGAAAATTCTGTCAATTGATTCTGAAGGTTCATCTAAGCTAAACATGAAGCAGACCGTTATAGATAGTGTTCGTCATGCTTATTTTTAAATTAGTTTTTACTTACGCTAGTATTGTAGTACCTATAATATTTTTAAACCATCATCTCCCCCCCTGCCAACAAAAGCAATGCGTTGAGAAATCTTGAATGAAATCAATATGTCCCTCATGACCTCATCAAGAAAAATGCAATATATACTAAATAAAACCCAAAAAAACCCTGTTGTCATAGAATCCAGTTCACGGTGACCCTGCAGGACAAAGTAGAACTGCCTTTGTGGATTTCCAAGGCTATATATCTGTACAACTCAATGAGTAACCCACTTTGCTACCCTAGGCCCTACATAATTTGCAATTTAAGTTCAATTCCATTTTTCTTTCACCTTTTTTTAAGCGCTTTATGCAAACTTCTGTACATATGCATGCTATTTAGTACTACTTTTCTTTGCTGTTATTTTGCCTTCTGTGCATTTTGTCATGAAGATGATATCGTTTGATTTAAGTATGAAAATTCCACTGAGACTATTTACTAGGTGGTTCCAATCTAGGAAATGTTACTGGTAAACCTAGGAATCGGACTTGAGCTTCCTGGTTCACTTTTTTTTACAGTGTTATTCACACATAATTCACATATCATACAATTCAGTAGTTCAGTCATATCAAGGAGAATGAATGGTACAATCATTAACACAATCAATTTTTGAACACTCCCCACCCCCCATGATTAAATCACTTTTTGAAAGTTGTGTAATCACTATCAGTTCTGGTACTCTCTCCTTCCTCCCAAATTCATTGCTTGCTCCCCAAATTCCCTCACCTCCCACCCCTTCATCCCCTGTAAACCCTTGCACTAGTTATTGTCTCTATGCACCCACTCCTTCCATGCTTCACAAACTGGGAAACCCAGCAGAAACGATGTAAAAGTAAAAATGAGATAAAGTGGTAAGGATAGAAGAAGAAGAATATTAAGATGGAACTACAAATAATGACTATGAAAGAAAAGACCACATCAGTATATTAAAAGCCAGGAAGAAATTTTTGTCATGGAACAAGCAAGAAATACTTAAACCTAGAACAAAATCAGGTGGGATCAAAAGAGAGGTAAACTGACCAAGTATCAAGTTGGATCCCACATAATAAAGATTACAATGATATCTATCTAATAGTAAGGCTATTCGAGACTTTTGCCTGTGGCTTGAGGTGATCTGCCAGCACCTTAATCTGACTAGATACTTTGCAGGTGGGTTTTGAGCTCCTACTGTCCTCCACAGCCTTCCACAAATTGGGTATTCACAATTTAAGCTCTGATACTTTTACCCCTGGTTCACTTTTATTGCTAGGCAATAAGCATGATTTGACCTAATCTTTCTGATTGATTTGATGCATCTCTGATGGCTAATAAACCAACTGTTCTTATCACAGAAGAATTGTTAGCCTATAAAAACTACTTTTTGAAGCAAAAGAACAATATTATTCTGAATACTAGGGTTATAAGTGGACGTTAGGATTTTTTTCTTATAATGAAACTGGTTGAATTAAGCTTGTAAAAGGCTTTCATAGTTAAACATTTTAATCTCAGACTCATTCATTTTAATAGTATTTTATTATATGTAATATGAATATTATGTCTTTAGCTAAAATCAATGAAACGGATACCTTTGGCCCTGGAGATGATGATGAAATCCAGTTTGACGACATCGGAGATGATGATGAGGACATTGATGATGTAAGTAGACAAACCTTAGTTGTTTGGTTTTGGTTGTTGTTTTGTTTCTTTTTTTCATTCTGTTTTTTTCCTCCTGGCCCCATAATCTCAGAAGACTGAACACTTAAATACAGTATATTTTTAAGATGTGTTACTAATTTAAATAATATTTAGAAACCATCTTTTCCGAGATACCAAGGCTGTTCTTGACAAAGTCTGTTAGATACCACAAGCGCTACTCATTCTGAGATTCTACAATTAACAAATGTCTATACTTCGTTTGATTTATTATACATTTATTCATCCGTCAATCCAGCTTATATTCAGATGTATTTCCAACCCATACAGAACACTCACATCATGGGTTAATAGAAAAATTCAGTACATACCACCAATGTATATTTGCCTTTCTGAAGTTTTAAATCTCTGTCTTTCCCTTTGGAGATTCTCAACCAGAGGTTTCTTATAACCAAGCTATGAGGCTTTGGCAGTAGGATTACATATTATTTCATTCACTGACAAGCACCTGGCATGTTGCTATTGTATTATGGGTTAAGAGCACTTCCAAATATTCTGACAGGTGAGCTGGGATCAAAGGTCATTGGAAGTTACCTGATTGAGCACACACATGAACATGAAGTCACGTGTGCAGAGCTGATAGGCTAAGGGTCTAGAGGGGATTAGGATTTACTCAAAAATCAGGTTTCTATTTCTGCCAACACCTTCTCAGAAATGGGCCCAGCAGGCTGCCAAGAAAAGAGAAAGTACAAAGGCATTTGAGTTACCTTGAACATTTTGTTGTGAATCACCTGAGAAGAAATTGACCAGTAGCATACATTGCCCACTCTGAAAGACATTGTACACCTCTATATATGCTCCCAGCCTCCAAATACAAAATCTTCATTAAGAATAGGAATATTCTGTATAATAGAATGTTCAGGAGAAGAGCATGAAAAAAATCGCAATAGTCCATAATAGAGAAAAATCTGGTGTCCAAAATTTCCTGTTCATATTGGATTTAATTCCAAGATTTGTTTCCATGATAGGCTGTAGACTATTATAATATAAGAGTACATTCCATACATTTGACTGGATGTTCTTTTCACTTTCAGATCTAAGTCGAACCCAACGCTTTACATTCCATTAGACCTGAGGATTGTCCTACAATTTGGATTTGGGGCTCTCATTGTAGAAGATTAAAATTTCATCAGCATGAGTACTATTTATTCAAGCAGGTTGATTTGTTTTTAAGGTGTTGGTGTTTCCTTTAAAACTGAGAATGTTGAAATATCTTAAGTAAAATGTTACACCCACTTTGTTCATTTGAAGTAATAGAGTTTCTGGATTAAAGGCCATAAAAGCTATTATTTAAAAAAATATTTTAAAGCAATATTGCCTCTCCCAGTTTGACCACTTCACTTCCAGGAACTAGATATTCAAGGTAATTAGTTGCCCTCTACTTATTAAAGGGTTTTGACAGGTCTATTGACTATACAAAGTCTTTCTGTCTGCTCCAGATACCTATTAGTCCCAGAAGATTTTGATACTGTTTTTTGTTGGTTTTTTTTGATACTGTCAGACTGTAAACTATGCATGATGGAAAGTCAGCATCTAAAGTCAAGATAAATAGGTCTGTTGTTTCATATTTGAATAGCATATGGCATTTTTTATACTGATTTTCATATCACATAGTTCGGTTCGTGGCCTTGTGTTGTTACCATTAAGACATAATGAAAAAGCATTTCCAAAATGTACTTTGCAAAACCAGTTTCAGTGGCAGTTTTTCATTTCTAAAGCTAGTACTTACAGAAATTGGAAGCTAGGTGGCACCAAACTATTCCACCAAACTATTTTAACATTGGAAATACTGAGTAATTTGGACGTTTTTTTTTTCTAAGTCAAGTGCATAGGAAATTTCCTAAGTGGATATGTTCTAATGTGATGCATGAATATAGAATGTTTTTACAGAACAAAACACTGATGCTAAATGCATTCTTTTATTTTCAAAAGTTATACATCATAAGCTATAATTTGGAGTACTTTATAAACAATTGAGTTGTATATAAATGAAAATCTAATTTCATAGCAATTTATACAAATTTAGCCTTCTTCAAACTATCACTAAACTAGTGAAGGAGAATGGAATCATTGCAGCTTAATAAATGGACAAAGAAGAGTCAAATTTCTAAATGGAAAAGCTACAGCTAAGGAACAAAATAATTAAGTTGAAGAGTGTATTATATACTTTAAGGGTTATATATTTGATTCTGTGGACATTTGTGGCGGAGTTAAGTTTACCCCTTTTTAGAAATGGTATCGGCTCTGGTAAAGTGAAGATCAAGGCTAGACTAGTTAGATCTCAATGACCACATTTGAGTTTCATCCAACTTCTGAAGGAGAGCTCAATAATGAATTGGTCCCCAGAGAACTTTTCAATGTTGAGAAATAATTAAGGAGAATATAAAGGGGTATAAACTTCCCTTCACATGGCTTCAGAAAAACCAATGTATCTTCCCTAATCCTTCTCTGCTATAATTACCTTTTCTGAAAAATCTGAGGCCAGAAATATGTATTAAGAATTGAAAACTAGGAATATCTACACAAAAAATACGGTGTGTTTCTTATTCTATGGAGTTCTTAGACTTAATAAGACAGAATGCTTTTGATATTTGTAACATGGCACATAACGACAACACAAAAGTACTAAGTTGGGTTTATAGTACATGCCTTTCCGCATTCTTAGGAACATGTGCTTCTGTACCTATGTTACAGGTTGTGGGAAGGAGAGTGCAACTTACACATTCTTTGTTTTACTTAACCCCCTCCTCTAACAAATATGGTGTGTCTGAAGAGTAATAATTTCACCCCATGGTCCCAATTCATGGATGTATTTCCTTACTAAATAGTTATATCTCAACCAGTTGCCACGTGGAAAATCTCGAGTCCTGGTGGTTAATCAAAGTAGGGATCCAGTTGTAGCTTCTGTGCAACACACTTGGAGTTATTTGAGGAACGTCTTTCATGTGGAAATTGTCATATCATTGACTTGATTATATTTCAAATAGGGAATGGACGTGGTCTTCGAGGAAAGTTAGCTTTTTTAAAGACAGCATTCTTTGATTCCAGTAATATAGTGACATAACTGCCCAGAAAGAAAAGAAAGAAATTGAACAATAATATTCATGGAGTGTCTATTTCTACTTCCCATTAGATTATAAATATATTGTATTACAAAAGTGGCTAAATAACCAAACTAATTCAGCATTTGTGTATCACAACTTGCCAACTTTAAATTGTTTGTTGAATCTTTTTGTGAACATCCAGCTTTTAAAGAGACCTGTAAACTATGCATGATGGAAAGTCTGGTATTTTGTTAAGGAATGGCTGTTGGCTTTCCTCACCACATCTGTGGAAACATGGCTATTACTTTATTTGCTTACAAAACTCCTTGTGATTGATAGTTTAACTTAATTTCTCTGTTGTGTAAATATTATAAGATGTTTTGTAACATCTGTTACAGGTAAACAGGTACAAACTGTCATTATTGCCCTCAAAAGCAATGCTAAATAATAGGCAAATGCATGCTTTCAATACAGTATCCAACTAGAGTTATATTTGTATTACATACAGATGTAACATCTTCCACCATTAACTGTGGCTTGCCAGTATTCTAATAGAAATGAGGTGGTTTATGTTGCCTGTCATAAAATAATTGTATGGTTATGAAATATTTATCTTTATGCTGTTTAGTAAGGATAGCTTTCATTTAGGCTGTTTGAGGTCACATGAACTTTTCGTATACCACTTTGTGTTGTGGTTTGGAGTTTTTTTGGCATTTAACAATTTTTAAGTGTACAGTAACTCCTCACCATATGCCACCACCGCCACTGTTCATATGTAAAAGTGTTCCTTTAACCCCAGTAACTCACCAGCTTGGTGTTACTTTCTTTTAACTACCATTGACTATCCATGCTTTTTACTTCCTATTCAGAAAATAATAGAATCGGGGTCTAACACTAGACTTAGCAAGTGTGTTATAGCGTGAAGTGGAGTGTGGACTGGGTTTTTTACCTTCTGTTCCTTGCCAGCTGTGAGGTAATTGAAGTGGGGTTGTGAGTCAGAGGTGAAGATCACTGGCTTGTACCCCAGTTCTCTACCTCAGTCGCCTCACCCCTCAAATGAGGAGCCTAGAACCAGCCTGAGTAAATTGGAGAATTCATTGATTCCCAAGTGGAATATGCACTTACTTTGCTCTTGCTGTCCATCTAGGATTGCACACTGTAGAATATGCACATCTTTTATCATCTATATTTGGCAATTCTTTTACTCAGCCTTTGATTTTTGTGATAGAACATTAGACTCTATTTATACATCCATGTCAACACAGTATTTAAAACAATCACTGCCAACTTCATTTCATTTAACCTAAGATGAATTTCCACATGGAAGAGCTCTAAGTTATTTGAACATACTTTGCAAAATACCAACTGTCGCTGTCTTTCCTGAAGAAAGTTTATAGTTATTAATAGTGATAGCTCTGGCCCTGCGCTTCATTCTTTCATCTTTATTAAGCCCATTTACATCCTTTTATTGTATAGTCCTGACAGCTAATTGCTACAGGCTTATTTAGAAATTTCCTTTCCAGTCATATTTGGAATGATATAAAGAAACCCAATGCAAACTATTACAATCTCAAAATAAAATAAGGTATAACTTTGAACAATGTACCCCATCTAATTTTCTTCAATGGTTTATAACTTTAAAGAAAAATTCCTTAAACCAGCAGTTCTCAACCTGTGGGTCGCGACCCCTTTGGAGGTTGAATGACCCTTTCACAGGCGTCACCGAAGACTATCGGAAAACATATCAATGTTTCACAATATACAATTATATATTGTTTTGTGATTAATCGCTATGCTTTGTCAATTTGTAACAATTAAAATACATCCTGCATATCATATATTTACATTACAATTCATAACAATAGAAAAATTACGGTTATGAAGTAGCACCAATAATAATTTTATGGTTGGGGGTCATGAAAACAGGAACTATATTAAAGGGTCACAGCATTAGGAAGGTTGAGAACCACTGAAACGCTTATTCATGGGTTTTTTTCTCTTAATGCTTAATTTTGATACATGAGAAAATATGTACTTTATCTGTCTTTTATTCTTGTGTTTGGGGGTTTGAATGGACCCACTCAGTCAGAATCCAGATAGGGGGATATACTTAGGGTAGTGAGTGAACTTGTCACAAACCTGTACAAGGTTCCATTTTCTGATGGTGACTCCATTGCCAAAAAGAACCTCACATTGAAAAATACACATTCAAGGCACTTGGTACAGTGAAATCCATGGGAGCCTAGAACTGCCTTGTTTTGCAAGTTTTCTACCTCCAATAGAATTCAGTCTTAACACTTTTATCAAGTCCCACTGCCACCAAGTCCATTCCAACTCATAGCAACCCTATATAGAATTTCTGAGGCTGTCTGTGATGTAGGTGAAGTAAGTACAAGTATTTCTACCTCTGACCAACTTGCTAACTGCAAAGGACAATCTTCTGGTTTAATCCATATTTTCTATCCACAATTTGATCATTGTAGAGCAAAAGCTGAATAAAGTCACATGGTTGGTTTAATCCCACTGGGCTGTTAGGTAGAAGACAATAGGCAATGCAGATTTTTAAATAAAGAACATTTTCTTTGTAAAGGCTAACTATAGAATGCAAACACCCCCAATAAAATTTAAAAATAATAATAAAATGTAAAATCAACAAAAAGAAAGCAAACAAACTCAGTTTTTAAATATGTTACTGTGAGAGTGACGTCAAAATGGAATCCAGGTAGAATCACACGCCTGGCGCTCCTGTTGCTAGACCAGAAAATTAAGAGGTAAGGAGGCCAATACTGGGAGGCTGGGTGCTAAAAATAGATTCGGTGTACAAGAGTCTGGTTCAGACCTCCCCCTGTGATTGTCATCCATGAAGCAACTCGAGAACTCGTTGGAATGCTCTTAAATTCACTGTCCATAGGTGCCACCAAAACCTTTGCTAGGTCTAGCGGAATGTCCACCATCCCTTCCTGTGCCAAAATACAAGACCTGCAGCGAGCAGTTATTTCCCCAGGCAGCTGTCTAAAAGTGGTTGTAATCCCAATGTCAGGAGTGTAGCTGGGGAAGAATTCAGTTCCGATCAGCCCCAACCCCATTCTGCTAA